CGTCGTCGTTACACAACACATCAATCGTTTCTGTGTTCTTCACTTATAATGCGCCATTTTTTAGCGCAAAACGCTTCAACATCACATCAGCCAGCAATAGCACAGTTTTGATGGTTTCCATTCTGAATTTTTCGTTTATTTTAGAAGTATCTGTCTTGAATCTATTCTCCGCACAATTCCGCTTCTTGATTCTCATTGACTTGGCCAATCCAATGCTCTACAATTCCGAGATCGGTTCGATTCTGACGTATTTGGAGTTGTCGAACACGCAAGTTTTCGAACACGTTCTCCTCGCAGTATTAGCATGCAATGAACAGTATGCATCACAATTGAATTGACTAGATACTATAAAGATTTTTGATAATGAACAAGTGAAGCAAACCAATAAAAGCGCTGATGATCTCAACCCATAGCTGAGAGTTTATCATATGGGCATTGCTTTCTTCAAACTCATTAGCCACACAAAACTGCTAAAATGTTCACGTGATGGATGGAAAATTTGTATCTTTTATGGATTCAACATATGAAATTGTATGTGATCATGGAATGCTCGGTGGATTATTCTAAATGTACATTGTGAAATCAGCATTCTTCATTCGCCCTTCATTGTTATTGGAGAATGCCAACCAACGATTTCCATCGAACAAGTCAGATTTCGATCATTCTATCACTTTCAATTACAGAATCCCAAAGTGAAACCGCACAATTATCACATGAAAAGTATCGGAATTTTGTGCTCCGAGCAAAAAGTATCATCAAACAATATGAACACTGAACTATAGCACGTATCAGGTGGCCTCTAAGCCTAGATTATTTTTCATTTATTGGTGGTGGAATGAACTTTTTCGACGATGATTCAAAACTATAATAAGATCTGCTGCTGCTTTCTGATCGAAAATTTATTCGTTTTTAAGGAAAAAATTCATGATTTGAATGACACTTTACAATGCTTCACACTAAAGGAATTCTCATTGCTGCTCAAAACGCTCGTCATTCACACAAAGTTCACGACTGCTTTCAGCTAAAAATCACTCGACTAATGCCTGAAGAAGAAGACGACGACCAAGTACTGTATCATCCACCCTTTTGTCAACGTCATTCGACGTGTTGATAAAATGAAAACCATTTTATCATCTTCAAAATGCTCATTTGATAAGTAATCTTCGACATATGATCTTCTTAAGTTGTTTCGCTGGTGCAGTTCAAGACAGGAGAAAGAAATGGCAAGAAAGCCGACACAAAGTATCTTAAAAATGGAGCTGAACACATGATTTTCAGTTGCTTCTATATCTAGGCTAACGTTTATTATTCTGCGGCGTTTACAAGTCTCTTCGCACAAATACAATGTTCTGAATGTGAATGATGGTGAATCGGAATGATATGAGTTTGACATGAATGGCTCAATACTAGATACATTTCTCGAACTAATCCTGCCGAAAGATTTGAACTAAGAGATTCGCCAGTAATCAGATATATCACTAAAACTGTAGTGTAAGAACTGAGTTTACGATGAAAATTAGGCTAATTTGTTCAGCAGTTGGTTTGCAATGCCCATTCCTTATCAATCGTTTCACCGAAATTCAGAAATTTCCTCATGGAAGCAGACAGTTGACTGTCGCAACCANATGCATTTTCGCTGCCTTTGATTTTGCACTAAGCCTAAGCCACAAGAATCAACAAAAATTCTGCAGTTCCAAAACCTATTCAAGCAGAAATTTTTCTATCTGCTAGACTTGAAATAAATGCTTGGAAAAATGGCAATTCGAGTGAATGGAAACTAAATTTTTCGTGATTGATGAAAGATGAAAAGGAACCGAAATGATATCAGCTGGAAAGCTTAAATATAGTGCAATTGAAGCTAGCAGCACACAAGTATAAATGAAATACGATACGGCTTCGGTGTGCAACGTTTTGGTTTCGATAAATTCATTGCTTATTTATTTATTTATTGTCATAAACTTATAACAACCAACCATTTTCATGCCGTTCACAACGCGTTGCCGCACTCTGAATCTTCACTCTACGAAATTTTCAAAGTACACCACACTCGACTTTAGCAAATCATCATATACATACATACACAGCAGATACAATTTCACTTCCAAATTATTTCCCCATCCATTCTTCCATTCAACACTTATACAGTAGATTCTTTGATGTGGTGGTGAACTCATTCTCGGGGTTAACTCATAATTCTAATGCTGCTGCATTAAAGATGTCAATTGCTCGATCGAGCATATTGTCATATTCAGCACTTAAACGCTTCAAAAATCTAAAAATTTTATCTATTGTTTTATTTCAATTTCTTTTTGCGGTTATTTTTCCTCCCAGTCATGATAACTGATCAACTTTCATGTGAAAATGAAAAAATTAATGCGTGAGAAATGTAAATTTGAAGAGGAATTATTAAAAATGACAGACATGATTTGGTGATTTTGCATTCGTTCAAACAAAATTTATATCTTGACTAAAACTGTCCTTTAGGTGATCACCGAAAAAATGGTACTAATCACTAAGCGCACTTATGATAAGGACGATAGTGCGATCTTAAAAGGTGATATAGGTCATGAGAATGATACCATAAGAAATCCACTAAAAAATCGCCATCTATCAAATCAAAAACCGACGTCACCTCTCAAAACACGATAAAATTTCAGTGCAATTGCAAAATTTTCCATGAATCCTTGTTGCTTCACTCTTGCAAACTACAATTTCAGAGCTGGCCTTAGTCTAGTTAAAAACTAATAAGTTTAGCATTGATATACGAACTAACACTCAACATATAATCTCATAGAATCCTCCTCATGTTTTAAACTCGACGACAATATTCACACTCCGAAAGATACTGCCCAATGCTACTAATATCTTCTAAATCTCAACTCCTTTCAGTATTCTAACTAATGAATAAAATTTTTTCGTTTGTGCTTTTTCCGCTTACTTGAAACAGCTTCCTAAGTGCAGCTCGAAACTGAGTGAAAAACCAAAATTTCTGGAGGAGTTTTTGAAAAAAATTTAATTTTCACCTATACACCACGAATGTGTGTGTATCCATGCATCGATTCAAGCAGCCATTTCAATTCAATTCATTTTATTTCCATGAGCACTGTTTACAAATTCACAATTGCTTGTTGCTGATGTGGCACCCACCAACTTCCCCTACAAAAGGGTTTCGTCGTTGCTCTATCACAAGCAAGCATTAACCGTAAAAGCACCCACTCGGCGCCATCTTTTCCCGCAACCATACATACATGCATGCATTCATGTGTNCGATAAAATTCTTCGTCTTCTCATCTCATCACCATATCATCGAGAGTAAGCAGGATGGAAAAATTTTTAAGTTTTCCTGAGCAAACGACGACCACACTATACAACCACGTTCATATACAGGTTCGTTCATAAGCCACATGAACAGAGAGTACTACTGCGTTGTCAATGCTCAGAACAAGAAGAGAACTCCGCCTGGTTGCCTGATATTGATGAGGTTTTATCAACGACAAACTAATTTTTCAGCCAGAGTAATTTCATGATACTTCTCATCAGACTGGGGAATTTCGAGAAGAACAACGCACTACTCAATGCAATCATCTCCAAATCAGTCAATCCAACAAAACAATAGATCAGAAGGAATCGTTAGCGTTAACGACTAGCCAATCGTGGTTTTGCTACCGGAACAACAACTTGCGTTGCCATTAGTTAAAAGAAGCAATTTGCTGTGGACAATCTCTCAAAAATTCCATTCTCACAAGGTCACTTAGAATTTTTTGCCAGGCTCGTCGATGGCTTCGACAGGATTTTCCATGAAGTGGGCCATATATGTAGGCAAAGCAGCAACAGGACTTAGCGATGAGTGTATCGAAAGCTTCTACCAAGACATTGACTGTTCGAATAGAATAGATGAATGTATCTCCATTGATAGAACAAGATGAATGTATCTCTATGATGGTAGTTGATTTCTGCCGAACCCTTTGAAGAGACATATCAGATAATTAACACGAGAAGTAATTTTTCTTCTTGATTTTTCCCTGCTTTCCTTTCTTATAAATTTTCCTGTTGTTCATACCTACGTCTTACCACATGTATTACATGAAATAATGCTTCCCTTAGAACATATTTAATACCTATTATCAGAAACTATTACTTCATGAGAGGCTAAGATCCCAATGAAAGTGTAATACTGAAGATATTCATATGAACAATAACGATAGTAAGAATGATACTGATAATATTAAAAGTAATAATGATAATTCATAGCCATAAAACACTATAACAATATTATTCAAAGTACAAGTGATCAAAAATTGAGCAACTCGAAACACAACAATCAAAACCCATCAAATCATTCCGTTCCCTAATCTGTTTTCATAACGTCAATCAGCAGATGACTGACATTCTCGACTTAGAAACTCAGCTATTTTCACACAGAGGTCAATCAATCGCAACAACACTAACGCATGCATCTCTACTTGATTTGTGCTTCTTGTTTGAGCGAGCGATTATATGCCTTAGGGCTCAATAAAATACCCTCAAAATGTGGTTCACTTGTCCCGATGACATACTTTCCAAGAATTATTCTGTTGCTTACGACGTGACCGACCGACCGACCGACCGCATCACGTTTCTCAGAACTGCTTCAGTCATTCGCAAAACCTTTTTGAGTGATTCAATTCCTTGACGACCACTTCAATATTTAGGGCGAGGAAAAGGCTGATGTAAGAGAAAAATTAACTTGAAAGGTCGAAAATTATTGCCGCTGGAATCTTGCAAAGACCTTTTTTTTGTCTGATAGCAATTTTTCGGTAAATCATTGTAAAGATGATGAAGAAATGTTGGTGTTTTTTAGCTAACAGAATTGATAAAATGCAATCTCATAATATACACAGATTTATTGTCAATTCAACTCCAAAAAATGAAGTTCACTTAATCATATAACGATTAGTTTCTCATCCAATACTTATATGTGCACGTAATGATCCCAGAAAAATGATATTTTTCCCTCTTTATCGCCAAAAATAATTGATAATTCCAATCATCAAAGGTCACCTCAACCATAAAACATGAACACCTTATTATTTCGCAACCAAGAACGATGAGAATAGCAATCATCACTGTTGAATTTTTCGTCGCTAAACCTTAAAGTTCGGTCATAAAACCAATCGCTATAAACGTCAAAATTCAATCACAAAATTCGTCACTATTTAGAATTATTTTTTCGGGAAAAATACACAATACATTAAAAAAAACTGCTTAAGCGGAAAAAATGAATGAGAAATCATTCACGTACATGGATGGCTGTTTGATTTTAATGAAAATCTGCACGGCAACCTGATAGACAGACTGG